AACATTTTTGAAAATTAAACTGTATATAGATAACACTAACATAAACATTTGGTGAAAATTTCAAGTATTTCAAGTGATTAKTTTTTGAATTACAACCATRTAAAAAAATCGATTTGGTCGAAAACTGATTTTGCGTAAAAATTCCCGTTGTTCTGTCATTTTTTTTTTGTTTTTCTCGATTTTTTTGAAAACTATTGGAAAATGTTTTGACCTCTATAATGTACCAATTATCCTCAATTTTACATCGGAAACCACCCCCATAGTTTGAAATCGAAGCATTATTTCGACTAGTTTTGCTGTACACAGACACACACACAAAAAAAAAAATCACACATCATGGTAAAATCAATATATTCATCACTTCGTTCAGAATCTAAAATCAAATATTCATACAAATTAGAAATGTGTGAACTTCATCTGCACTAACAAAATTAACATCGAACATGTACGTTACTATAATACTGTAGAATATCTGAACATGCCACAATCGTTCGTGATTACATCAAATAATGATTGAGCTTTTATTAAATATTATATTTTATGATATAGACACAGTGCAGTTGTGACTAGATACAGATAAACACAAAATCGTCAATCCATTTCATATTAATATCTAATAAGTAATATTGTATTAACTTATTTTACGGTCTTCGTATCCACTTGTTTATTGTTGCCAAGTCATATATATATATGTTGTATAAAACATAATAACGGAAAATTTATAAATAATTTTTAATAAAATATATGTTACAGTGATAAGTCCCCCACTTATATAAACAACGCGTTTTAACCTACATTCACTACACTGAATACTCTATTTAAACTATAAAAAAATTTATACAAATATTGTGGACTTTGAAATTCCAAATGTGTACCCTTAAAAATAAAAGCGTGCACCTATCTAATTTGTCGTGAGGTAGTGACTTATAAAATATAAGCCATAGTTTGCACTCACTACTCATCCACTCTTTTGAAAAACCAATTTAACAAACCCAATTATGATTGTGCAGTCTGAAAACTTTAAAAAATAGCTACTGTAGTCTGTAATGTACCATCCACGTACAGTCATCATTACTTCATTAGTACAAGATCCGTCGTCACAAATTAAAAATAATAATAATTTAACGTATGAAATTACTTACTTATTAATATTAATAATTAATTTTTCATTTACGACAGTGACAATAAGCCCGTGAATATTGCAAAACAAATGACTCTTTGTTATTTCGCAAATTAATGGAAAAATAAAAGCATGTACCTATACGGTTTCAGATATAAAATGTCAAGTCGAAAATAATCGGCAACGWTCGGTAATAATGTGATATTATGGTATTTCTATTTTCTAATAAAATCTTATTAAACAGTAAAAAAATATTCAAAACTGTACGCACCKGCTGTCAATATCTTTATTAAG